ACAATGTACATTGATTCTGACACTGGTAACAATTACTTGCAGTATGACAATGGTCAGGATTCGAGGTAATAATAGTGCTATTTGTGGGCAAGGCTATAAGTACTTTTAGGGGAAGAGAATATTGTATAGCGGGAAATTTTGAAGGGAATTAAATTTGAAAAATTTGGCATTTTTATAGCCATTTGCCAAAATAAAAACCCACCACTTTTAGCCATTATGTGCATGTTCGATGGCATGTGGCCGTAGTTTCGCCGAATTAAATCAACCATTCACCGAAATTTAACAATTTGCCAAATTTAACTCGCTCCAAAATTTCTCACTATATAGCATGAGCTTTTTACTATTTTCATGCCTCGGTATCATTTAGGATTACCAAAGTATATCTAAAATGTGATCAGAATGCAGACAGCCCATCCATTACTGCTGATGGTGATAAAGACACTCCTTTGACATATGTAAGCTAGTAAAACTCATTCTTTTTATTTGCCTCTCCTTATAAGATATACCACTTGACAACAAAGTGTGCATGTCCTGGAGGATGTAGCGACAGGCCAGTACCAAGTGACCCTCCTACTAAGCCTGGAGGAGGTGGTGGTGGTGGTGGAAAAAGTGGTAAAAGCAGTGTAGCCCCTGGTATAATTGGCATTGTGCTGGTTATTGTGTAAGTACATACTACATGTCAATGTTCTCATTACAAAGCATGATAAATGAAATCATTTAGGATGCTCATTGGTTTTGTCACTTACTTTGTGATTGGAGCTGTTGTTTTGAACAGGAAATTTGAAAAGGAAGGCAAAGAAATGATTCCCCAGAAAGACCTGTGGTTCTCATTACCATTCCTTGTTAAGGTATAATAGATTATTGTTATGTTCATTTACAATTTATCTTTACACAATAGGATGGATGTGTTTTTACATTTGGACCTCTAGTGAGCCTCATAAGACGTAAAGCAGGAAAAGGAGGAGGCGACTATGAGAATATAAAATAAAGACTGATTGACTATATACTTTGAATGTAATATTTTTCCTTATAATTGGCCTCGCCAGCGATATC